CCACCCAGGCACCCCCGTCTATCCATTTCTAATAGCCAAATGAGGCCTCCTCCTAAACCTTTGCTTCAAGATTCATTCCCACTATGGAGCACCTGGGTGGCTAAGTTGGTTAAGCATCCAACTCTTAATTTTGGCTTAGGTTCTGATCTCACAGTCGTGAGATCGAGCCCCGCATTGGGCTCTGTGCTGAGCATTGAGGCTGCTTGGAATTCTTTCTCTTTCTCTCTCTCTGCACCCCCCCACCAGCCCCAACAAAAAAATAAACACTTAAAAAAAGATTCATTTCCACTATGAAATCTTTCTGGACTTTGACCCCACCGCATTAAATGTCTCTGAAATTTCGGTTCCTCTTCTGCAAAAATGGCACCAACATTCTGTGTCTCTTGATATGAGGACCCAGTGCAGACCTGCCTAAAGCATGGTTATTTGCCCAGAGCAGAAGGAGCGGGGTGGCTCCCTACAGCTGCCACTTGCCACCAAGAGCCAGGGACTCTGTCCCTGCATCATGACTCTACTCACAGGGGACGGCAGTGCCCGCGTGCCTTGGGCGTGCCCGCGTCAGCCCCCTTCGGTGAAACACAGGACTAAATATGGAACAGGAATGCAGACGTGGAATATGAGAAGCGTAAGGAAAATACACAGTTGGAGATCAGAAATGAGAGCAACCTCATCTCCAGGCACGAAGCAGGCGGGAAGCTTCCATGGAAAGGGTGATGTTTGCTGAAAGGTGGAGATTATTATGAGAGTCCCTTACAGGTCATGACTTGGTGGGGCCTGGGTCCATGCCAGGAGCAGAGTGGGGCTTGAGAAATATTTGTCACATGCATGATAAGACCCCTAGGCGCACTTATTACTTGCCATCCAACTTCTGCACCCGATAGAGAGGTGAAATTATTTAAATGAGAACCCCCCACTTGCCCTTCAAGGGCTATGAATGAATTGCAGAGCAGTGTTGAAAAACAGCACAGGCTTCTGAGCGCAGGCTGCTGAAGGAGCACCAGCAACCGACTCACCAGCAGTGTGACCGTGTCAAGGTGGCACGTGTCTGGACACAGAAGAGGGCACCTGGGTGTTTCCCCCGCACAGCTAGGTGGAGCGGAAGCAAAAGGTGCAGCCCCACGTGTGTGCATCTCAGTTTGCCTGCTGCCGTTTGCTCAGTGCTATTGGGAGGCCGTTTGGACATTGCATTTAATACGAGAGATCATTTTTTCATCCCCAGTAAATATATTCATGATGAAAATTTCACTGAAAGTCCCCATATATCCGGAGCCCTTTAAGGGAAAGAAAGCAACCCATAAAGTATAGATAACTTCCTCTATAAATGTTTTAATGTCTTTGTTTCTTCTTCCCCCTCTCTGCCTGTTTATGCTGTAATATTAATAAATGCAGCATTTTAATGAGCTTTGATGGAATTACCTTCAGAGGGTTGGTACGTTCCTTGGAGACGCGTAACTGAAGTTCCCAGTTTCTGGAAGGAAGTCTGTTCCTCATTAGCTGGGACAGTTAAGGCTGTGCTGGCTCAGGAGAAAGGGGGCCACAGCTCAAGCCCACCTATGCCTGCACGGGACCAGCCGTGTCTCTGCCCTGCTGCGGAGTCACCCCAGGGCTTTCATTAAAAGTGTCAGATGGTTTCCCTGGAGCGAGTGCTGATGGGATGTCATGTTGGTGTCTCCAGAGGAGCAGCCCTGACACCTACTAACAGTCTGACAAATGGCTAAGTAGCTGTTTTGAGCCCGGGTGGAGGGATCCGGCATCGTCGTCTACCTGCGTGTTAAGCGGAGAGCACGGGTTCTCTTTCACGGTCATGGCTGTCCAAGAGCCAGTATGCTCTCCTCCATAGGGGGCTCCCTCCTCACCCAAAACCTTCCCCTGGCCCTACCAAATGCGCTCCCAGGGTAAAACTGTCTTGAAATAAGCAAGATTTTTTTTTGCAAGAGGCAGATGGATTTTTGTGTTGGTTTGACTTTGAAACCCGCCGTCTGTAAATCCGGGGAGTTTCCCAGTGCAGGGTTTAGAGAAGAGGTCAGAGCCTCCTTTCATTGACAGAAGGTGAAAAGCCAGCCCCACTTTTCTGAGCCCAGGCATTCAGGGCCCGGGTACTTGGCGAGGCGGGACCAACCAGATGCTTCCTCTGTGGCCTTTCCATCCATATCAAGTGTGACAAAGGAGCGGGAGTGGAGAATTCATATTAGAGGCGGCCATACCCTGGGACCAGTAATGGAATTCCCCAAGGCTGGTTTTCCTGGGAAGCACGGGCCCCACCAGACTTTTCCTGGGGTGGGACACTGATCGACATTCTCGTGCCTGAGCGTTTCTAACCATTCTTTGGTTTCTAGTGATTTCCAAGCCCCATTTCCCCCTCTCTGCAGTGATTCTGAGAGCTCTCTGATATCATTTTAGTTCATTCCTTCTCTGTTAAATTTCAACAGGGACCTTTCCCATATTTATCACTGGCAACCCCAACTCACCCATTTATGGCCATGGCTTGGTCATTGTCTACTGGCCACTAAGAACATAGCGTTGACTTAGAAGCTTTGGCCAGACGACTACACGTCCAGATCACTAGTCCATTGAACGGAATCTCCTGTTTAGTAATGACTCTTACTCATGTGTCTGTTCTCCTTCTTTCTTTTTTCTTTCTCTTGAAATGTAATCTTCATGCAGCCTCCTTAACATGATGCACAGTACCTCAGAGCTCCTGGTTATTAAGTTAATTAGGTGTAGGTTTAGTGACCTAAATGTAGGTCAGTAGGTCAAGAGGCCTGAGTACTCTCTGCATTAGACCCTGGCCTGGGATTCCTCGGCCATTTGATGGAGGAGAATCTGTCCTTATGCCCCCAATTAATTTCGTACGCACTGCTTTGCAAAGTGTCACTGCTGCAGAGATCGGTGCCGTGTTCATGTTGTATGGACATTATAGAGCCATCCATTCTGTTCCTGACAGTTCCGATTCTAGATCCCTCTGTCAAACCCAACAAAAGGGGAGAGCATTTCTTCCTTCCTTCCTTCCTTCCTTCCTTCCTTCCTTCCTTCCTTCCTTCCTTCCTTCCTT